CTAAGAAAATCAACCCACAACTAGACAAAGATGGTTATTTTTGCATGAGCGCGGCAGAATGCTAGTTGCCAAATCTGTCGAAGGCTTTACAAAAGGGAATGTATTTTTTTTTCTTAGTGGGTTTCTAGTTTGGGCAAATTTACATGTGACAAAAGGAGATGCCTGTGGTACACACAGAGTCACTTTCTATGGCTCAGTACAGGACACCAAGAATGTTACTGCTTTCTCTTTACTCAGAATGACACCTGAGCTAGGAAACACAGGCCTTAAAACCCAGGAGCTACCAGCAATGTGCTTCCAAACCTGGGTACTTGAGGGGGCGTGCCCCAAAGGGCATAGTATAATAGAAAGGCCCCAAGGCCACACCATTTTGTAAAACCTTGTGCTTTTATTTTTTAGGAAAACCGGATCTCTCTCACTTTGTCACCTTGCAATGTTCTAAAACTATTGATGAGAAACTTGGCAACATAAAACAATGATTTATATCCACAGGTTTTTAGGTAAGGAATTTGCAAAGACCAGAGTAGAGGTCTTCCTTTATTCATGATATCTGGGATCTCTACAGGGGTGACTCAAAGGTAGGTAAGAGCACTTGGGCAGGGGTGGAGCCATGACAGCTAAGGCTGGCAGAGATGCTTCCAAAGGGGCTTCTGCTCTGGGTCTGGTGCTCGGTTGGGAAGACTTAAGAATGAATTTGTTCTCAGACAGAATGTCCATGACTCGGGGGTCCAAGAGTGAGTCTTCACACAAAACAAGCGGGAGATGCATGGCATTTAATGTCCCACCCTTTGAAGTCTCACACAGTATCACTACACTGATCCCAAATCACACTCAGATTCAAGGAAGGCCATAAAGGCTATCTTCTGATGAGATAGGTATGTGTCAAAAGACTTTTGACTGCATGTTAAAGCTGTTACTAAAGTCACCCAAGAATCATGCTCATTTGTAACCCTGGGCTCTTGAAACCTAACAGAGGTCTTTTCACAACTCAGCCCAAGATAATGAGAGTACCAAACAGTATGACGTGGGTCTGTCTGGGAGGCTGGAAGATATCAACAAAAGAAACCTACCTCTCATCCCCCTGAAAGAAGGACTGAGTACAGTCAGTCTCATTCCCAGTAACACCCAGACCGCTGTGGGATGCTCATGCAGGGCTATTGAAAATAAGCAGAAATTGACTTTAACTAATCTGCATCTTTTTTTTTTCTTTAGGTTTTAAAGTAATGGAGATTGAACTGAGGGCTTTCTGCATGCTAAGCACATGTTCTACCACTAGGCTACACTGGTAGCTCTTACCAATATTTTTCTTGTACCTAACTCCATACCAGAGACAGTAGCTGCTCCTAGGTCAGGAATGAACAAATACAAGCCTCCACATCAGGCTCAGATCAACCCCAGTACTCATGAGAAGGCCTTGGTTTCCAGGGTACTCCTTCACTGGGAACACTTGACTTCCAGTGTCCAGCATCTTCCAGGTGCTGTCTTGACCTAAATTTAGGTGACTGTCTCCTTCTACTCTATCCAGAATTCTGTGGCTAAAGCCCCCTAACTTTGATAGCCTGACAGAGGCAAGAAGCTATTCACCATTCAATATGGCCTGCAGGTGAGAACACAGATAGGAACTGATGGAGGATCGGTTAGGCAGGGTACCATCAATCAAAGTAAGCAGGCTCTGCAGACCACTCATGAGCTCACTTGACAGCCCACAGTGTACTGAGATGCTTCTTGTATTGATTTTCAAACATTTGCTCTTCTTCCCTCTTCTCGCTGTGGCTTTGTGTTGATTTAAGTCTAGCAACTTCTACTTTTTATGGGGTTTTTGTATTTATTTTTATGCATGGATGTTTGGCCTGAATGTATGTCTGTGTACCACAAGCATGCCTGGTGCCGGAGGAGGCTAGAACATGGTGTCAGAATCCCTAGGACTGGAGTTATAGACAATTGTGATCCATCATGTGGCGATGGGAACTGAACTCTGTGCTGTTAACTGCTGAGCCATCTCTCCAGCTCTAGCATCATTTGATTTGAATAGTGAAGACTCTGACCACCCCTCCCTCTCCTCTCTACCTCACTCCCCTCCTTCCCTTCCCTCCTCTCCAACAGTTATTTGAACCACAGGTGTCCGGACTTTTGATATTGTGATGTGACATTGTTGTATACAAATGTGTTGGGACACATTCATAGCTATCCTGGGGATGCATGCAGCCCATGGGTCACAAGCTGGAAGGGCACTAGGGAAACGTCAATGACCAAAACAGACAATTTGATTCTGCCTAGCAGCAGCAAAAAAAAACCAAACAAACAGTAAGTGGTATTCAATAGTAAAATGTGGAAAGGCTGTGGGAAAATTGGAGCTGGCAAGAAGATTACAAACACCAGTGTGAGCCAGGTGGTGGTGGTGGCGCAGCCTTTAATCCCAGCACTTGAGAGGCAGAGCCAGGTGGATGTCTGTGAGTTCAAGGCCAGCCTGGTCTACAGAGCAAGATCAAGGACAGGCACCAAAACTACACAGAGAAACCCTGTCTCGAAAACCAAAAAACAAAACAAAACACCCCACCAGTGTGATGGTAGAGTTTGAATTAAATATTGAAGGATGAAATTAGATGGAAAAGATGAATGAAGAAGTAAAGGAATGGAGTTTTCCATAGAACCACTGAAGGAAAGATGTGTGCCAGACTGAGCACAGCTGCATCCTGGGACAGGTCCCTGGCTTTATGAATGAATAACCCAGACACTAGTGTTTCGGGGCAGATGGAAGAGAGCACATAAAAGGGCCTGGGGTTCTAAGTTTATTCTGGAAAATGACGGGGAGATGAAGTTACTGTTCTTTAAGGTACCACATAATCTAACAGATTCTCAGAAAATTACTTTGTCTGCCTTCCTGGGGACAGACTAGAGAGGAGGGAAGAGTGGGATGAAGGAGACCACTTACAAGGCCATTACAGAGGAGCAGGAGAGAGGAGATGGAGGCCAGGATAGGGAACCATTCACACAGATGTAGCAATGTGGTCAGCCTCAAGACAGGCCTCAAAGATAGGCCGTGAGAACTCGTGGATTAGATATGGAGTGTCTGAGAGGATGGCATTAAGGGGCACCCCGAAGTTTTGGACTGCTCTGGAATAGATGAGAGAAGACAAGAAGTACTGCTGAGACCTGTTAAGTTAGAAATACCCGCTAACTGTCCACGAGCATATGTCCACTGGGCAGTTAAACAGCATGGACACTGCCTCCTAAGGAGATAGCCTAGGGCTAGCCCTCCTGGAGGATGCTGGGAGCTAACAGGTGATTGGCAGCCCAAGCAGCTCCCCCTAAAGATATGAAGCCCTTTAACCAAGGAAGTTAGGTAAAAGGACATCTAACTCTCAGCTCCAGACGCAGGACCCCTCCCCTTTGGCGGCAGACCCATAAGGCGTGGGTCTGCCGCCAAAAGATAAGCTTATCTCCTCCAAGGGTCTGTGAGAGCCCAGGGAAGTGGACACACACTCTGCCCTCTTATAGCTGAACACAAGGAAGGACAGAGAGAGTCAAGAGTTACCGTTAGTTAGAGGAAAGACATCAGCCTGTAAGGTTTTAATGTTAACCTACAGAAAGTACAGGAAATATAGAAAGAGAAAAGCAGGAGATTCCTCTGCAAATGTTCTTGTTTGTGAGGTTTACTGGGAAATTGAGTAGAAAACTGAGGGAATTGAGCACCTACTTAGGTTCCCAGAAGTTCTACAAGCCCACCCCTGATTCACAAGCCTTCCAGGGTATGAGGCTCCTCTCTGTGGGCAATGGCCTTCAGAAATCATTTCAAACACTAAGTTGTTAGTTTTTAAACATTAGGATCTTTTGGAACTTGTCAAAACTTAGGCTCCTGGATGACATCTCTAGGGACTTTGATTCAGGTGATTTTTCTGGAAGAAAAATCCTAGGAGTATCAAGCCATGTGAGCCATCACTACCATGACCATAGATAGACGGACAGATAGATAGGCAGATGATATATAGATAGATGGTTAAATAGATATAGATAGATAGATAGATAGATAGATAGATAGATAGATAGATAGATAGATTCTCAATAGCAAGACTTAGTTCTCTATGGAAGGCAAGCCTCCAGGGAAGGGTCACCCATCCACAGCTGTAGACAAGGAGAAAGAGAGGGACTACCAGGACACTGGACTTGCTCTTTGTAGGGGGCCCAGCCAACAAAGCTTGAGGGGCTTTCGTTTCGGTGTCCGTCTAATTCCTGGAGATTTGCTGGTGTACTGAGAACACGTGTATCTGCTTCAACCGAATGTCATGGTTACACCTTTCACTCTAATAACAAATGTGACTTAAATCGTTTTTCTAGAAAATGCAGTGAGTGTATTCACACAGCATTTACATATCTGTTTCTCTTCAACAACAATGGAATGGAAATTTTTACTTGAGTTGAACTCTCTGCCCTTCCTGTTTTTAAAAGTCTTTTTCTTTTTTAAATCATGCTATTTTCTCTCTCTCTCTCTCTCTCTCTCTCTCTCTCTCTCTCTCTCTCTCTCTCTCTCTCTGTGTGTGTGTGTGTGTGTGTGTCTGTCTGTCTGTCTGTCTGTCTGTCTGTGTCTGTGTGTGGGGTGGGGGTGGCTGTACAAGTGCCACAGTATGCACATGTGTTTAGGTCAGAGGACATCCTTCAGTACTGGCTTTACTTCTTCTACTGTGTAGGTCCCAGGGATCAACCTCAGGTTGTCAGCCTTTGAAAAAATCACTTTAACCCACTGAGCCACTTGCCCAGCCCAGTGAGTTGTCGTTTATATAATTCAGCTGCTACAACATGGAAGCCCACTGTGGGCTCCTATGGCCTGTCTTGCACTGAAAGTCCTTTGTTCTGGTGAGCTGTGTGTATTTATTGAGCCCTAAGTTTAGCCCATATGCTGAAATGTTAATTATGGTTCCTTGAAGGGAAGGAGGTTGTCATGTACACATGTGTCCCAAACAGAGCTGTTATGACTTTACTATCATCAAAATAAAAGACCAGGCCGTGGAGGACTCTGCATTCTTTATTTCATGTATGCCTAAAGGGACCAACTTTCCTGAGCACTTGTTAACCATAAGTTCATGAAGGAAGGAGAAATGGATCTGTCCGACATCGTAGGATTTGACCCTGCATCTATGTGACTCCAAAATCAATTCCTTCTCCTCTTCTTCCTTGTAGAAAACATACCAAGGTCAGCCACATTTTCAGTTCAGCATTGTACTCACCACTGTGACAAAATACCCAAGAAAAGCAACTTAAGAAAGGTTTGTCTTGGCTCACAGTCCCAGGGTACAGTCCATCATGGCGGACAAGCACAGTGGCAGAAGCTTGAGGCCACATTGCATCATGGTCCATACCGGATCTTGACCCATGGGATGGTATTGATCATAGTTAGATTGGGTCTAGAAACTCCCTCAGAGACATCCCCAGAGGTTTATTCTAAATGCCATCAAGTAGATAACATTAGCCATTACAAGCATTTCCCCACAATCAGTCACACTAAGGAGAAGTGGCAGATCCCTTTATCTCTGCTGCTACTCCTGGTCACTTCAGAATCACCTTTGACGTAAAGTCTCTGGTAAAGAGCTCCATCCCCCACACACCAGAAGCTGTGCAAAGGTTAAACACTCTACGGCGGAGAGATAAGAAAGGAACCACCTGGAAACCCCCTTTTGCAAAAGCATCAGCAGCAAATGAACACAAAATGTTTGCAAGCACATCTTTGCTCCTCATCCTTTGGCGCCATGTATTCATTCAACCTTTTAAATCACAGGGAAATAAACACTTCCCAATGACTGGTCTACTGCCAACATAACAGCCTCGCTGTTAACAGTCCCAGGACCTCAGTAGATTGGGGAGGAGGGAAGGAGAGATACAGAGAAAGAAATGGATGGAGGAGTCATTGAAATCAAGAGAACCGCTCCATTGAGTGCTTCCTGATCTAATGTATGTAAGTCAGATGCAATAAAGGCTGGCTGGCACTGATCCTTGTTCACTTTCTGTAAGTCCTCAGGTCCGGCGGCTGCCCTGCTCTCCTCAACTGCCCCTGAGAACCACAGTCAAAGCTCAGGCCTGGTTTTTCCACCTGTTCTCTGTCACCTGGTGCCTCCTCAAGCAACAAGAAACAAGCTATTTTTTCAAAATGATTAGTACATTGACTGTTTTCTGAAACCCTTTTCCCCATCCTTATTCAGACTGAGAGATAAGAGGTCACCCCTGCTGTGGGCCAGCTCTTTCTGGTCTCCCATGGTTGAGTGGAATAGGGACATGTAACTGGTTTGAGCGCATGAATTATTTGGCTTTTACACTTATTTATTTAGTGTGCCTGAGTGTATATATGTCTGGGCACATATGCTGAAAGCGGTTCTCTCCTTCCATCATGTGGGTGCCAGGGATTGAACTCGGGTCCTCAGATTTGGTGGCAAGCACCCACACCCATCTCACTGCCTTATGAGAGGTTTTCTTACTGCAACATACTCACACTTGAACAAATTTGCTTTGTCGCCGTATTTTTAATCCTGAGAGGAACGGTAATCGAGAGCAAGGAAGTCGGTAGTTTCGAGACGACAAGATGCTTCCACCAGTGTGGTCTCTGATTCTGAGGAGTGGCAGATACTGAAGATTCCTGGTGTCTGGGGGGATAGGAGAAGGGAGGGGAGAGGATCTTGGATTGGTATGTAAAATGAATGGAAATTTTCTTTTTTTTTTTAAAGATTTATTTATTTATTATGTATACAGTGTTTGCCTGCATGTATGCCTGCAGTCCAGAAGAGGGCACCAGTTCTCATTATGAGAGCCACCATGTGGTTGCTGGGAATTGAACTCAGGACCTTTGGAAGAGCAGCCAGTGCTCTTAACCACTGAGCCATCTCTCCAGCCTGGAAAATTTCTTAATAATAAAGAAATATATTTTAAAAAAGATTCCTGGTGTCCATGATAACACCCAGCTCTAGAGAACTGTCATATGAAGACCCAGACACTCTTCTCAAATCTGCTTGAATTCAAGTGCTGCCTGTGACGCTGGAGTCCGTGATTTTTCACGCCCGATACTCCAAAGCTCCCTGCAGAGACGACCGATAGACATCATTGCAGACTGAGAAGTAACAGGTGCACGTAAGAACAGCACTGCCCTTCCACCACGTCCCTGTTTCCACCAGCACGGGATCCTAAGTGTGCATGCCGGAGCCACACTGACCAGTAGCAGTCCAACTCCATCACTTCCTAGCTTCATAAGGATGTGTGGGCAAGTTGTTTAATGTCAGTTGTTCTCAGCTGTGAAGAAGCAAGATGATTACCTACCTCTGTGGGATAGTAGTGAGGAACTAACAAGGCAGAGACTGGGGAGGAGGCTCAGTTATAGAAGCGCTTGCTGCACAGCATGAGGACCTGAGTTTGGTCCTCAGAACCCATGTGAAAAGCCAGGCATGGTGGACCACGCTTCTAATCTAAGGGCTCAAGTTTGCTGGCCAGACAGTCAAGCTTAACCTGTTATCCCTAGGTCCCAGTGAGAGATGCTGTCTCAAAAAAAATAAATAAATAAGGTGTACAGTTCTGAAGGAGGGACTCCTGAGGTGTCTGACATATGGCCTCCACATGCTCTTGCCACTCCACGTAGTTAAAAGGAGATTTATTTAATGGCGTAACTTACAAATTAAGGGATAAGTAGGTTGTGGGGTCTGGGGAAGGTGTATCGCAGTCCAGCGGTGTTCTCTGGAGCTCTGCCAGGACAAGGAAGATGTAAAGTACCAGTAAGCCACGAGCCACGTGGCAAAGTAAAGATTAATAGAAATGGGCTAAATATAAGAGTAAGAACTAGACAATGGTAGGCCTGAGCTAGTGGCCAAGCAGTTTAAATGTAAGAGTCTGTGTGTTTATTTTATAAGTGGGCTCCAGGACTGGCAGGACTTGGCGGCGGGAGCTGGAGAGAAATTCTCCAGCAACATAGCTACACAGACATATGCACACAGACACACAGACACACACACACACACACACACACACACACACACACACTAAAAAGAACAAACAAATCAAAATGAGAAAAGAACTTGGACTAATGCCTTTCTCACATTGAGCATCATATAAACAGCAATTATTCATACTAACTTACTGTTAGTTGATCTGGACCAGGTCAGTCTTCAGTGACAGTGTCTCTAGTGGGAGGCTAGGAGATGAGAAGATAAAGGAAATAGAAATCCAGGCTCAGAAGGTCTTACACAAGCTATGTCTATGTCAAGCAAGCTTGTTAAGCAGTGCAGCATCTTATGAACTGTCTGGGGAGTGGGGAATGGGACGGAGTCAGCAGAAAGCTAGCACACAATGAGGTGAAGTCAGTAGGAAGCAAATCAAACGATGTCGCACAGGGGAACACAGGGTTTCTCGCGGGTAACAGAGACTGAGCACAAAACAGCCATGGGGTGTGTAACTCCAAGTCTCCTAGCCGGGGGAAAAAGCCAAGTTCCAGGAACTAAAACCTTCACTCCTTGGAGGCAATGGCGGAAGCTCCAGACTGGACCCCGCCAAGTCTGCCCCTGACCAAGAAATAACTAGGTCCCCTTTGTCCTTTCACCAGGGCCTCTGAGGAAGCCTTGGATCAGCCTCGACAGTATTACCACTAGCTACACTTATTTCCATCATTGAATAAACATCCTTTTGTTATTAGACTGATAAGTCTGAGTACGTATATATAAGGAATTTTTACGATCAAAACATTTTGAAGCAAAAATAGATTCTGAATATTATTTTTCCAATCCCAAAGTTAGCCGTTCAGATGGCTGGGTAGACTCCACTGTAAAGCACTGTGTTTCCACCAGTGGTACACACGTGGAGCGTGATCAGGAAGCACCCAAAGGGCTATTCTTTAATACATACGGAACCCTCAGGTCAGGTGACTGAAAGAATTTGCTAACACATTTGAAAGTTTCTTGCACTTCCACGAAATAAACATTCTCCAGAATTTTCAAGGAGATGTCACAGAAACTGCTTAGGGTTCCAAATACAGCTCGGGCTGTGTTCTCAACTTCCACCCTCCAGACATATGATCAAGCCACTTTGGTTACTTACAAACAAAGGCCACATAGGCCTCAGTTTTCTCTAAATCCCAAGAGACCAAGATGTCCCTTTTCACTTCAGCAGGGTCGCTATGCACAGATTAGCCCTGCCCCCACTTTTTTTCCCCTGTAGTTCTGGCACTTGGATATCTGGGGATTTGCTGATTCTTGCAGTGTCTGGAGACTGGGTCCCAGCAGAGATCCACAGTATGAGACACCATTTGACAACCCCCCAATACCACAGACCAGGTATCAGATGACAGGAGAGAGCCGCTGAAATCAGTGAAGTTAGCCAGTCCGAAGCTCACTTACCATGCTTTGCCTTGACTATTTTGTGGCAACCACACTCAAGACCCAGGCCCATGCTCTCCTCTCTCTCTACCTCCTGACTGACCCTGATCTTCCCCAGGAGGCTGTGCATGGCACTGTTCCTCCTCTTGGGATCTATGGGCAACTACTTCTTCAGTGGGAGCCATCTTCTTCTACCTGTTGGCTTTGCCATACCCGCATTTTCAAATGGTGGACATGTACATGTTGTGAGCATTGTATAAAGCGCAAGTCCAAACAACTTCTTGGGGAGCTTTATGGACTGTCTTTGGTAATAGCCATGCAGCTAGCAGATGGGCCAATTCTCCCTTTACATCATGGCGTCATTGAAAAGATTAACAGCTTAGAAATCATTTTGTGAAAGTTAATAATATAAATGTGTTCTTGCAGATCTTTACTGTGTATCTGGAATGGACCAGGTTCGTGATGATTGGACACTGGATCATAGCTGAGACCACCAAGAGCTTCCAGTACCAAGAAACAGTGTTTCCTGAAGTGTAACAGTAGTCATTGAGTGGTTATGGGTCATGAGTGGTAGGGAGGGGAGCTCAGAGGACTCCAGCAACATACAGCCAGAAAGAAAGCAAATGACACTAAGAAAATTGTCTTAGTGTTACTATCGCTGTGAAGAGACACTGTGACCATGGCAACTCTTATGAGGAAAACATTTCATTGGGGTGGCTTGCTTACAGTTTCAGAGGTTCAATCCATTATCATAACAATGGTGAGGAGCATGGCGGCATGCAGGCGGATGTAGTACAGGAGGAATAGCTGAGAGTCCTACATCTTGCAGGCAACAGGAAGTTGACTGAGACAGTGGGCGGTATACTGAGCAAAGGAAACCTCAAAGCCCGCCCCCACAGTGACACACTTCCTCCAGCACAGCTACACACTCCAACAAGCCACACCTCCTAATAGTGCCACTCCCTGTGAAATTATGGGAGCCAATTACATTCAAACTACCACATTAGCAAATGTAAAAGATGGATGAAATTCTTCCTCTCCATGAACTTCTCCTCTTGCCTCCTGCTTCCTTCACCTACTCAGTCACCTCCATTTATTAGCATTTACCTTATACACCCAGATTTTTTTTTCCAAGACCAAGCACTGGCCCCTTCTGGGTCATGAGATACAGAATGTTCCTGACCCAGCAAAGATGGAATCAAGAAAAATAGGTTACTGGGCTGGAAGTCTTTCACAGCAGAGGAGGGATTGCCTGGCGGGATGTTCCAGTAGAGGACAGGTGAGCAAGGAAAGCCTGCTGGTCATGCCTGGTTTTCCCTAGCTCTTCCCAACTCGTGTTAAAAACAGAAAGGAGAAGTATGCCTCGTAGATCCTTTTAACTGGATGAACCCTCCAAAGAAATGTTCTATTCAGTAGGTCACGGCAGCAGAAGTAAATGTGTGCCACTTGCAGGCTGAGCATGTGTTTGGGTGGAGTGCTACAGAGCTGCAGAATCGAAGGTGATACCCACTAGCCACATGCGACTGGGAGAGCTTGATATGTGGATAGTTCAAACTGAGAGTCTTTTAAGTGTAAAAAATACACTGAATTATGAAGATTTGGTACTGAAAAATGCAACTATAACTCATTAATGTTTTAAAAATTAACAGTATGTTGAAATCATATAGGTAAAGTAAAATACACTATTAAACTTGGTCTCATCATTTTCATTTTCATTTCTTTTTTCTTTTTCTTTCTTTTTTTGTTTTTTGTTTGTTTGTTGTAAAGACAGGGGTTCTCTGTAGACCAGGCTGGCCTCAAACTCACAGAGATCCGCCTGCTCTGCCTCCCGAGCGCTGAGATTAAGGGTGTGCGCCACCACCGCCCGGCTCACTTTGCCTTTCTAAGGTGACTAGAAAACACTCACTTGTGTCTGTGATTTGAGCTTGTGGCTCACCCTATATTTCTGTTACACACACCTGCCCCAGAAGATTTTGTCTCCTCTGCTACAATGCTGAAGACACATGTCAGAGGTGAGAGCTGCGTGGAGATAATAATCACACACACATCACCCCCGCCCGCCCCCAGCCACCTCCACAGGACACACAGCATGAGCGAGAGGTAAATCTCTCACTCATCTAAATCTCTGAGCTTGCTCGCTACTCAATCTCTTTTAACTGGCACAAGTCAAACACCAGGAGCCAGTCTAAACGAAAGCAGATCGAGATGCTTAGCCCCCGCCCCAAAAAAGGCGGGGGGACTCAGGGGAATAGATATCAACTATATCATGATTTTTCTTATGGTCATTCCAGGACACAGCGTGCGCACACCTCCCCCACTCTCACCCCCCCACACACACACACTTTCAATTTTTATGTCGAGGGAGACCCAAACATGAAATGCTCTGTTTCCTCCCAGACCGCCTATGTCACGTGAGCACGTGTCTGGCACGTGGAGCCAGCAGGCTTGGGGAAGGCTGTGGACCTCCCACGCAGGCTGACGACATGCCTTACCTCATTTCAGCACACGGAACCCTGTCTGATATGTTGCTTTAGCGCTGACAGTCCCCATGATGCTTCATTCAATCCGTCGACGTCTTTGATTCACTCAGGCTAAGAGTACCGAAGAAACCATCCTTGGACGGACGGCTGAGGGGAACTCTGTGAAAGGACACGGTGCCCAGTGAGTGCTGAGCAAAGGGGGTCGTAGAGTTCAGGGGGAGGGGTGAGCGCTGCCTCTCCTCTACCTGCCACTAGCGTGGCTGTGCTATCACACGCGTTGCCTGTTTATTGTGGCTCAAAGTAATAGAACCCTTGACGTAGTTTAACCTTGGTATTTGCCTTTCTCACCCATCAGTTCAGAGGCAGGCAGTTTAGGGCTCGGGCAGGATCCACCATTGTTATCAGGGGCCAGCCTCTTCCTTCTGAGCTTCACAGCAGGTTCAGCTGTTGCCGCATGCTCTTAAGATACTGATTTTATGACCCAGGCATCATAGTCAATTTAAGGGGGAGCAGCTAACTTAGGCCCCGCCCTGTGTTAGAAATACTGGGACAGATGCTGTGGCCTCAAACTTGGCTTACGATGGAGAAAAGAATATGAGGGAAGGATGGTTGGTTCAGGCGCCATTAGCTTGGAGGAAGGAATTGCTTCTTCTTCCTTCTTAATAGGCTCAGACATCTTTGTTTAAGGAATGGCATTGAGTCTAACAGCCTTGCTTGAAGAGCCTCTGCTTCGGATTCCTCCCGGGATGTCCTTGGCCAGCTTCAGCAGTTATGGACAGCGTGGGCGACAATGCCTTAAGTGTTAGAGTGTGTGGGCCGCAATGGGTCTCCTGGGTCTGTGCCCAGACCCTTGCTGAGCCCTCCTCCTCCCCCCTCCTCCATCACCACCAGCAGCAGCAGCAGCATCCAAACCACAGGTTTTAATTCTCCACTGGCCAGATAATGGCCAAGCTTCTGCTTCTCCTGCTGATAGACTACTAAGGAAATACCAGAAGCTTCTAGAACTCAGCCTCCTGAAACCTAGACAGCACAGCCCCGAAGAAAACATGCTCTCACCCTGCCACCCTCCTTCTGGTTCTGGCAGTCAGTGGCATTGTCCAGCACTCACCGTTCTGAGGGGAGAGCTGCATCCTCAGGTTCAGCTAAGACAACACTCACGTGCCGCTCGGCCTGATAAATTGCCCCACAGCCGAAAGACCGGGTGCTAATTTAGTGTTCGCTTCTCATCAGCTGAAATGTTTTTATTTTTGGAGGGAATCGGCTAGCTATAATTATTATTGATCTCCATGACAACAATCAGAGAAAGCTTTCATGTGTCCCCGACAAGCAGGCCCAGAAATAGATGAGGTGTCCTGTTGTTTTGGGCCAATCACAGCTTCTTCTTGCCCTCAATTGATTTTATAGCTGACTTGCCATTTCAAGAACAAAATTAAGTTCTACACAGAGAATTTGGGTGTCTTAACCCTCACCCTCCCACACCCCATCAGCATTCCAAGAGAAGCCACTGGGGGCTTGGTCATATCCGTTTAGAGAAGGCCTTACCTGACTGGCAACAGATGGATGCTAATGGGATATTTATTTACAGAGTAAAATTAAATTGGAGCTGCATCTTAATGCACAATTTACATAATCAGCTTTGTTCTGAACTGATGAGCTGTTTTCAATAGCACTTGGGACCTTTCTGTCACAGCTGTCTCAGAGCAGCAGCCACTGAGAATGGAGATTAAGTAATTTCCTAAAGCTAGAAGTCTTGATGACACTCTATTATCCCATCCTAGAGACCTCATAATTTCTCTAGATACGGGCATGGGATCAAAGATCCATGCTAGTTTCTTGCTATAATATGGGATCAAAGGAAAGATGTTTAATTTGCAGTGGGAAAAGGTTAGACACATAGGTAGCCTCCACGTTCACCCGCCCTTCTGTAAGATGGATTTATAATGCCTTCCACTCCCCCATAACACTCATGTTTACCAGTGTGCTATGCTGTGTGCTTGGTGAACCCGGAGGAGGAAGTTCACTATAGTGCCCTGTACACATGACTCTGGTTCGGGGAGAGCAGACCTAAGGATCTGGAAGGAGCATATACTTCAGGGTACAACAGAGGGGGCAAAACTGGATCCTTCATAAACAAGCTGTGGTAAACTCTTACCGTTGCCCCCCTATACTGGCGCAGAAGACACTAAATGACCATTTATTTAAGGATGACCGTTCATCCTTCCAAATCCATTTGGTGCTGACCTACTCTATGAAGGGTAGCACTGTTTTCTGAGAAAAGTTCTAACAACAGACACTTGCTGAAAATTCAAGTTCTCTAAGCATGCTTTGGTCCAGGTTTCCTGTACCTCTAAGATAACTACGATTGCTCTCCTGGATTTTGCAGACCAAAAAATTGAGTCCTAGAGAAATAAAATAATTACTCCCAAACTCCTAACTAATTAAATGGGATAACCAGAGCTGGAACCTGGTCTGTCTGGTCCCAAAATACGAAGCACTTGTGCACCAGGCCACATGAAATCTCACATGGCAAACACTGTAGGCAGTTCTATTAGCAGAGATGAGGTCCCCTTTCCTAATAGAAATAAAGGATTTTTAAAATGAGATCTCCATCCCTTGGAGCTATAATTACTAACCTCGAGCACTGAGCAAACACTTCAAGTCCTTAAAAGGAAAATTGATCTGAATTATTTATCCCTCCAGTCATTCATTTATTCATCAGAAATGGTTTGCTCTAAAGTGCACCATAGTTAAAATCCAATGGAGAGATCAAATCCATTTCCCCTTGAGAGCAAGCTCTGTTCAACTGGATCTCAGCAAACTTGGGAGTTTGTGACAACTGGTTGTCAAAATAAGTCCTAATCCTAACAGACTGTTTTGTATACATGGAACCTGTTCCTGAATTCCACTGGGCTCATTAGAAATCTTCAATGCAGTCGGGGGAATATTCCAATGGGACTCGGTGATCTAAAGGCTACTACTATTCGCTAAGCATGTGATCTTTGACTCACAGGCATTTCCCCATGGTCTAAAAGACTACATCCTGCTTCTACTTAAAAGCTATCATACTCTTGCTCTGGGAAGACCACAAACAAATGCTCAAGGGGAGACTGTGTGTTGTCACTACTTAACCTGTCCTTGTGACAGAGCACCTGGCAGCAGAGAATTCGGGGGCGGGGGGGAGACTGGTTTGTCTCGTGGCTTCAGGGTGGCTCATGGCATCACGAATGGGAAGGCATGGCAGTGGGAGCAGCTGCTTCCATTATTGTTGGCCAGCACATGAGGCAACTGGCCACATTATAGCTGTGGTGACTTACATGAGAAAGGTCCTCCACGGGCTCATGCTTTGAACACTGGGTCCCAAGTTGGTGGAGCTGTTGAAGGGATTTTAGGAAGTGCAGCCTTGCTAAGAGGAAGTCTGTCACTGGGAGCAAATGGTAAGACCTCACAGCCTCACCCCATACTAGTTCACTGTCTGCTCAACGCTTGCCCTTGAAGATGTGAGCGCTCAGCTTCCCGCTCTGGAAACCATGCCTGCCTGCTGCCATGCCTCCCTTCTAGGATGGGTTCTTATCCCTCTGAACCATCAACCCAAATAAACCCCTCCTTCTGTAAGTTGCCTTGGTCATGGTGTTTTATCACAGCGGCAGAAGAGTCACTGATGCATGGCAAACGGGAAGCAGAGTGCAGGATAGGGAAGGAGACAAAGACAAGAAATCCCAAAGGATCCACTTCCTGTGACCTGCTTCCGCCAGCCAGGCCCCCACCTCCTGAAAGTCCTACAGCTGCCAGACAGCACATCAGTTGGGGAACAAGGTTTGACATGTGAGCCAAAAGGGACATTTCAGAGTCGAGCTCTGACAGTTTTATGACATTTTTATGAGGCAAAATCAGGGCAAGTGGCTCTCAGTTTGGGGCTTTCTTATTTCTCATTCATGGTGCCTTCAAGGTGGTGGGGGAGGGTGGGGCTGGAGGGCCTCAGTCTCCAACTTAACACTTTGTAGTATTTACTCCCAATGTTCCACACCAGAGCAGTGCTGAGTCTTGATGCATCACTAAAACCGGTCTCATCTCTCCCTTTTCCCCAAGACCTTCCTCCCTGCCTTCGGCTAGTGAGCATTTAATGTTCAAGTGACCTTTCTCAAAGATAGTTTACTTTTTCATAGTGACTGTCTAGAGATCCAGCACGTAAATTTCAATGTGCTTCTAATTGGTTGTAATCTCACACCAAGACAGAAAGCTGGGGGTGAGATGGTCATAACAGCAGTTAGAATTAGAACAGTTGCCCCTGAAAGGATGTGCCCATCCATGCCCGGACACTTAGGGCCTGTGGAAGTCACCTTATTGAAAACAAGTCTTTGTAATTGTAATTAACTTGGGCTCTCAGGATGCGCTCATCCTCATTTAAATAGACAGGCCCTGACCCAAATGGCAGGGGTCCTTAAAAGAAACTGAAGAGAAGATACAGCCCAAAAGACTATGGAAAGATGAAGAGTGTGTGGGGCAATGAACTACAAGCCAAGACAGGCCTGCAGCTGCCCGATGCTGGGAAGCATAAGGAAGCCCCCTCCCCCCCCCCCCCACACACACCCTGAGCCTAAAGAGGGAACCAGCTTTGTGGGCAACTTAATTTCAGACTTCTGGTCCCAGAGCTATGAGAATAAACTGCTGTTGGTTTAAGTCACTGACTCAGTTACAGTTACAGTGGCGCTGGGACACTAATCGATTTGTAAGGAGCTGTTCTGTAACGCACAGGCGTCTTCTTGCCTTCACATTGAGAGGGAGAAGCAGGCTGAGCCCTCACCAGGGCTTTCCAGAAAAGGACTCATAATGTCATGGGTATATGAAGCCCTGGCCCCAGGTCTTGCCACACTGGAGAGCAGACAGCCCGGTGTCCTCTGCAGCAGCCTCCCTACCAGCCTCAGGCGCCTATACCGGGAAGAAGCTGAGAATAAAAAATTAAAAGAATTCTTGAGGTTCCAGCTTTGGAAGAAAACCCAGAGGAATAAAATGCATAGCACCAGGACATCCTTGAGAGAGAACAGGGTTTCCGAGGACAGCGTGAGGCTTACCAAAAGGAGGGGTGTGGGATAAAGAAACAATGGGGTGAAAATGAGGAGATAGACAGAGGTGGGCCTGCAGGGTGACTTCCGTGGGTAGACGAGAGAAACCTGTCATAAGCTGAATTGGTCAGCAGGACACACAGAAGCAGTGGGTCACCGCGGCTTCTTCAGAAGAAAGCAATTGTCCAGTGACAAGGCTTTTCTTCAGAATGCAAACAAAACCCTGTGGTTAGTGTGGTAATTTTCACATTAAAAAAAAATCTTCCTTTGATTTGGGGTGGGTTTTCCTGAAAATTGCTGACTTGTCTACTTTTGTACCTAGGGTTTTTGTTTGGTTGTTGTTGTTTTGTTTTTACTCAGTCACCATTCCTATAGGTACTAGTCAAGGCAATCAAGTTATCCCTAAAGCAATCTTGGCAGCCACCAATGTCTGAGTTCTAGAGCTCAGGGGTGGTCCTAGGTGCCCCTAGAGGGCACATGCAGATGGAATCGTAGGCAGCTTACAAGGCTGTTCCGTCTCCAGCTCTTGTTCCTTCTCTCTCCGTCCACCACATTCACATAGCAGGGAAATCCATCTTGATGGCCACCAGTTTTTGCTGGGAGGAGCCCTGGCTGCAGTGTGCTCATGTCTGCAAAATAGTGAGTGGATGAGGTGCTGGGCCTGTCCTGCTGGGGCTCAGTTCCAGACCATCATAGATGGGGTATGGCAGATCATATGATCTTCCTTCCTTTGTGTCTTGCTTCTTTTCCAGTTGTTGTGATAAAATGCTCCAACAAAAGCAACTTCAGGGAGAAAGGCCTCACAGTTCAAGGGACCAGTCCATCGTGGTGGGAAGGTCAAGGCGGCAGGATCGTGAAACACCTTGTCTCATCACAGCCACACTATGATGTGCTATGAGTGCATGGTGCCTCTCAGCCCGTCTGTCCACTTGTGCAGTCCAGGTTCCCAGCCACAGGGGGTGAGTTTTCTCATCTAAATGAATACACTCAAGATTATCTCCCACAGGCATGTCAAAGGCCACACTCCCAGAGGATTCTAGACTCAATCAAGTTTACATTTAATACTATCACTCCAGAATGGGAGGTTCCACACAAGCCCCTTTACTGGATAAATCATCCCATCAGCTAAAACCAATGTCCTCATCTATTCCATTGTCTATATCATCTGAATTGGAGACAGGAGACATACGGAAAGAGCGTGGGACTTACTACCACGTTTCTATCTCTGTGACACTGTGTAGAGATGAGGAGCAGGCCATTGGATCATTGTTACTTACATCCCAAGATGAGTCAGTGGGTCCCATTCAGAGTGCAAGACCTTCCACTAGCCGTGGGCCCTGCTGGCCCTTCAAGATCTAACCTATGGATGTATCTGTCTCAATCTTGGGCTCATGCCCTCTTACCTTCTTTTCAACACTCAGCTCTAGCTACCCCAGGGCCTTTGAATATGCCATTTTCCTACCGGGAAAGATCTCCTGCACTCTTCATATGACACATGTTTCTCTTCATTCAGATCTGAGCACAAATGTCACATGGGAGCCTTTAGGCTCCTTCCTGCTGGTTGCAAATCAACATATAAAGTCCTCAGAAGCCACCATCCTCTCCTCATGGGAGGTGGGCTTTAAGACTGAAAGTCACCCATTCTTTTGGGGTTTACAAAATTGAAGTCACCTGATCATGGGAAACCTCTGTATCAAAAATCAAAGGGAGACAGATGGGGTGAAAAAATCAGAGAGCACCAGAACAGAACTTTCCTCTGGAAATAGAGCCTGAGGAC